CTTCTCGATTAAACGATTAAATGGATAATCGAGACTAAGCTGTTTAACATACTGACTTTAGTAATGATGACCGAGGCTAAGCAGAAATTTCATTCGCTTAGTTCTCGGTTTATAGTGGATCAAATTGAATGAAATTTTCAGCAAATTGCCTTTACGTTATCTAGTTTTTAATTATTATAGTGAGAACTGGCAACTCGTTATCGAATCTCCCATAATGTACCTTTAACCAACTGCATGTACATCTTAGTAAGAATAAGATTATATAGGCCATAGTTTGATCAATAAAAATATAAACAAGTCAATCAAGTTTTTTAAGATGTAAGTAAAAAATCAATAAGTTGTAGCAAACAGTTAATTAATCTTTTAAATGTCAATTGTATAGAATATTGAAAACAAACTTTAATTGGCATATCAATTGGTTTTCTCTTAAATATTAAATTGTACATATTGTTTTCCATGTCTATGTTTTAGGTCAACAGTTTTCCTTAACACATAAAGAATACATGATCATCGTACATGTACATTGTACATGTATATCATCTTCAGCTAATATTGGTAATATTAAATTGTACATATTGTTTTCTGTGTCTATGTTTTTGGTTACCAGTTTTCCTTAACACATAAAGTATACATGATCATCATACATGTACATGTACTTCATCATCTTCAGCAAATATTAAATTGTACATATTGTTTTCTATGTCTATGTTTTGTTTACCAGTTTTCCTGAATACATACAGTATATACATGTACACAATGTGTACATTATCTTTAATCGGTAAATATTAAATTAGGAACAATATTGTTCATTAACACATGTTCTTCTGACCAAGTAAATATTATTACATTGTAAATGACATAATCAACGAGTAATTGAAATACAGGTCAAACAAATTGAAATAAAACATGTGTACATTATCTTTGATCAGTAAATATTAAAACATGTGGAAAACAAATTGAAATACCAGAATATGTGGGTAACCCGGTCTAAGAATTGTTACACAACAGTAAACAAGAGTTAGGGTTAGGAATATATTGTGGTCCGTTTTTTTATTGTATAATTAAGACACTACATCAAAGAGAGAGAGAGAGAAATGGGGTTTAACGTCCACTCGACACAAACTAGGTCATTTCGGGACTAACATATGGTTTAATTTTATTTCAATAATTCGCTTGCGCGTAGGGGTCTTTAGCAGTGGGAGGAAAACGGAGGACCCGGAGAAAACCCACGAGGTTGGACAGGCGACCCTACTCCTTGTCACGTACAACAGGGGATTCGAAACCACGCCAGTCGACTCAATGACAGACTTTATGATACAGCGCGCGCACGCTAACCATTCAGCCATCCAACCCCCCTACTATATAAAGTATCAATATAACGAAACAGTCTGTCAATAACGTTAAGTCAATTTAATTTGTTAATTTTAACCAAATATTTGACTTGATTCAAGAGAACTTTTATTTGATCATCTTCTACTTTGCCAACCAACTTTCTAAAATGAAACTTGTTAACATTATTAGGATCCCTCACATACTATACATGAGCTGTACTTGATGGTTATTACATGTACATGTTTCCAAATCCAGAATCTTGGTTATGGGGAATTCCCTTCTCATGCTGTACATGATGGGTATTATATCTTGGTCATGGGGAATGCCCTTCTCATGGTGTACATGATGGGTATTACATCTTGGTCATGGGGAATTCCCTTTTCATGCTGTACGTGTACATGAAGGGTATTACATGTAGAATCTTGGTCATGGGTATTTACTTTCTCAAACTGTACATGATGGTTTTTTACATGTAGAATCTCGATCATGGGGAATTCCCTTCTCATGCTGTACATGATGGTTATTACATGTAGAATCTTGGTCATGGGGAATTCCCTTCTCAAACTGTACATGACGGTTAAAAGAATTCTCAACCTACACTTACAACTTGTTAACAAACATACATGTAATATAATATTTTTACAGTAAAACATGTTCATCCATACAGTATCTAAATAAGAAACAAGATGTTATTAATGTATGTACACTACCAGATAAACTAATATCATATTCCATATCTACTACATGTAGATTTCATATACAACAGTAGGGATCAGTTAATATACACATGTACATATATAAACAGTAGTGATCTGTTAATATACCCTACAGGTACAATTAGAGTGAGAGAGAGAGGGGTTTAACGTCCACCAGACACAAACTAGGTCATTTCTCACAGCTGACCACAAGGCAAATGACCAAGATGCCAAAGATGAAATTGTTTTCAGAGAGAGAGAGAGAGAGAGAGAGAGATAGATAGAGGGGGGAGGGTTTAAAGTTCACTCAGCATGAACTAGGTCACTTTGGGACCAACACATGGTTCAATTTTATTTCAATAATTCGCTTGCGCGTAGGGGTCTTTAGCAGTGGAGGACCCGGAGAAAACCCATGAGGTTGTCACGCACAACCGGGTAATCAAAACCACGCCAGCTGACTCAATGACTGACCTTATGATACAGCGCACACGTGCTAACCATTTGGCCATCCAACCCCACTAGGTACAATTAGAATGGGCGAGGTTGAGAAACGAAATGGGGTTTAATGTCCTACTCTTCTGCTCCAGTTGGCCTAAGAGAACAGGCATGTACCCTACAGCTTCCTACATGTATGAAGGAAATTTTGCTCTTATATCGAATTCCAACTGATAAGGGTTCTTTTACGTGCACGCCTATGTGTAATCGGGTCTTTGGTTGTTTATCCCATCTGAACAACTATGTGTTATCCCTTGCCAGCCTCTCCCATCCTGCACAAATGACAAGGGGGAACTTTCTTGGTCAACATTGGGAGCGAAACCAAGACCTTCAGGCCACAGTGGCGCTCAGTGAGTATGGTTCTGGCTCAGTGAGTATGGTTCTGGCTCAGTGAGTATGGTTCTGGCTCAGTGAGTATGGTTCAGACTCTGGCTCAGTGAGTATGGTTCAGACTCTGGCTGAGTGAGTATGGTTTACCTCAGTGAGTATGGTTCTGGCTCATTGAGTATGGTTCAGACTCTGGCTGAGTGAGTATGGTTTACCTCAGTGAGTATGGCTCTGGCTCATTGAGTATGGTTCAGACTCTGGCATGACTGGCTCAGTGAGTATGACTCTGGCTCAGTGAGTATGGCTCTAGCTCAGTGAGTATGACTCTAGCTCAGTGAGTATGGTTCTGGCTCAGTGAGTATGACTGGCTCAGTAAGTAGGACCCTGACTCAGTGAGTATGACTCTGATTCAGTGAATATGGCTCTGATTCAGTGAGTAGGACTCTGATTCAGTGAGTATGGCTCTGACTCAGTGAGAATGGTTCGGGGATCACTAACCAGAAAGTCACTGGTTTGATTCTGATTTTGGATAAGAAAGTTCCTCTTAATTTTTTCAGCGTGGTTTCCTCTTTTCAGTATGCAGGACAGGCAGTTGGTAAAAGAAGGAACAGTGTCTAGTCATTGGGATGGGGTGATAAACTGAGGTCCCTGGTACACACGTTGATGTGCATTAAAAGAACCCTTAACAGTTGGATTTCGATAAAGAATATGCCCGCTTGTGTGCAGGAAAGTCGGACGTTAAACCCCATTTCATGAATTAAAGATACATTATGGGAGATTTTTATAGAGAGTTGGCCATTCTTGCTATAACAGTTCAAAAGTAGATGATGAAAGAAGAATATATTGAAAAATTCAGTCAAATTACTTTATTCTGAACATAGTTATCATCGTTGTAATATTTGCCTAGAAATGGTAGCGAAATGTGTCTTCACCTTTGCCGATCGTTTGATTGACAGGCGTTAACTCCACCTACATGTCTCGATTATCAAGTAAAGTTTTCAATGGCATACGGAAACGCTTTACAGCGGCCTCGCTAAGTATACTCTATCATTTAGCCTCGATCTAACTTACGTATTTTCCTCAGGTTACCCCTTATTTGATTTAATCAATTAGTGAAATCCTATTTAAATCCGAGCTGTAGCCGAGCCATCCGTGGGTCTACAGAGTTGATTTTGGTCTTGTTGTTTAAATAAAGATCTAATTTATAATTTCTATAACATCTGAAGCCTAAATTAAGACTTGCAATAATCAGATTTAGCTTTTGCATAATGCATGTTTAATTAGAGGAAATTTTACAAATATTGAATAAAGGTGTGCAGGCCAAATCTTGGTGTATTCCTATTTCATATAGGAACGGTCTCTCCCCCGAAGGTGTCCGCTGACCGTTTCTCCCTGCTCGAGAATTCTGTCAACGACACTTCACGTAGACGTACATTGTGTATAAGTTATTCTGAATGATTCCCGCGGTCTTTTAAATGGACTGTTTTCACGAGTATTGTCAGTATAAAAATAAACCTCAACTTCAGCCATCACTCAAATTATTTCAATTAGTATTATGTAGGGAATACGTAATCTAGAAATATATACCACATTTCGCGCGCTGGAAAAGGGCGGAACTTCTTCTACAGAATGCCATTCCCAGATAACACGTGGTAGGTCACTCAATGTCAGACTGACGCTTTTATAGAACGGTCATAAAACCGTGGATATCAAATTTATATTTGGCCTACTTGTATGCTTCACGTGGGACTACAATAAATACCCAAATCAAAAACCTAAAAACCCAGCAGACGTTAAATCACTAACGAAAAAAAAAAACAACATTCATGAAATACGAGTGAAATAGTAAACGGACCTAAACTGGAAGTGAACAGCTACAGGGCGCAGTCTAAATTAGTCGAAACGTTTAAAAATGTCAACTATTTTTTTTTTAACGTTCTTCAAGAACATCTTCAAAACTGTAGCTACGTGTTGGAGTTAGTAAGCCGGTGAATCGTGTGTTGACAAAACGTAAATGAAGTCACACGTATGAAATCATCGGGATTTTGACAGGTGAAACTATTCAAATGTTGTCATAGAGCCTCTACAAGCGACCACTTAAAACCGCTTCAATGACTTTTAAAGACCTATATATATATATACACGACTTACCTGTATCCATCGTTCTGTCTCGTGAAGCGCTAACTCCGTGAAAAATTCTAACTCCTCATCTTCTAAATATTTATTTTCCCAATCTTCAGATTCCGTTCCTAGTTCGGTCTGTGCCATATTTTATTGACAATATCCTCTTGGTTTTTATTACACAGGCGATACACACACAGACACGGGACAACGCGAAGAAGCGTCCCAGTGAAGACTAAGCCCTTCACTGCACTGTGAATAACCAACCCGTTGAATACTAATCAGCCGATGTTTTGTGTATAGTGGCCGTGTACTGATAGAAGATAGCGTAAAGTATAGTACTATTCTTTGCATCTGATTACAGAGCAAACTTCTATCGGATCGGTAGGCCTACTTATAAATCCAATAAACGAATCCCACACACACTACGACATCAGAAAACGAATCCATGATCCTTCAATAAAGCCATTGCGGAGAATCACCGTCCAAAAAGTTTTCTCGAAATATTTCGCGTTATCTAAACTATAAACAACCCGCTCTTCTCTGTGCTGCAATGCCTGAAGGGGGTCATAACACGGTCATGTGACCATTCTCCGTCACCCTCGACAATTTGATTGGTCAGTGATATAACCTGTGTCCAGTTTCATTCATTCGTAACGGCACGTGAGCGAAACAATGTGTATGTTTTTTCACGTACTCTAATATTTTCTCAGGGTTTCATTCATAGAAATACATTAAGCGGATTAATGCGGGCGCTAATGATGTTTATAAATTGCCCAAGATTAAATGTTTTTGTTGACGATTAGTGTAGTCGAAGTACTTTATTTGGTGTTTTGTCCGGCGAACCTGTGATCGGAGGGTTTCAACCACAGAGCATTTAAAAACTAATCCGTCAATTTGACGTAAAGTCCGTCAAATGATGTAAAATCCCGCTGAGAAAGTCATCAAGCCGACAAAAATCCGTGACAGATACTCGATGGATGTTCTGACGTATTCCCAACTTTATTAAGCCTGTAACAATTACGACATATTACAGTCTCCCAGTGGATTTATTTTCTCCGGAAAACCATGAACCTTATAATAGATGTATGGGAAAATTTTCGCGAGACCGTATAAACTTCTGCATAAACCCAAAACAAACAAAAATCAATTTTGATAAAGATGTCCTTTTTCGTGCATAGTTCAAGCAAACTATTATGTATTCATAACTTTGGTTTATTTTTTTTGTGCATACTTTCTTTGTATTTTTCAAATGTAATATATATAATGCCATAATGTATTTAATGATGCTGCCCGAAAAAGGTGTTTTGTGTATCCATCTCTCTATAAGTTGAATAAATACCCTGGACATCGTTTAGTTTTAAACAGTTCTGTCACTTGCAAAGTTATCTAAATATGAATGCTTAGTTTCTGTCTTTAATAATTCCCAGAGAACTTTTTGTTTTTTGGTAAACCTACAAGCATAGCTCGAATCTAACCCGTGACGCGGGCTGACTCTGTACGGGAAATATTTTAACTAGGGAAGTAATATTTATGAATGATCTGAGGTTAAACGTCCTACTTTTCTGCACCAACCGGGCGGGAAATAAGTTAAAAAGAAATCCAAAGATAAATTTATAATAAATAAACAGATGCCCTATGAATAGACACGCAACTTGTGGGTTTGTTTAGTTTTTTTTAGTCGCACCGCATGGGCACGTGCCAGTGCTTGGGTCGACGCCTAGTTCAGATGTATACAGTTTCATCAATGACTGGTGGTGCGGTTATATTTATCAAAACGATATCGTACGCAAAAATGTATTGAAAACAACTTTTGGGCGTTTACTCATGTTCAATAAACCTTTTTATACAATGAGACTTACCTCAATACCGTATTGCATAAATAGCTATTTGATTCGATAACAACAAGATTTTATTTATTTTTTTTTATTTTACTTTGACACTATTTTTAAACTCTGTTGTGTGAGTAATACATGGACGACATTATATAGATTCTTTCTTTGAAAATGTTTCACTTGATAAAAATTTAATTTGAATGGATATACAGCGATGCGTAAATAGTTCACATACCATTAAGAGATATATATAAACCCCGTTAGGGTTTAATTGCATATTTTTTTTAAATATTTAGGTCGTATAAATAAAGGTTTGACCCGAGTATTCACTTGTAATGTATATCTATAAATGTACGGTGATAAACGATATTTTAAATGTTATCTAAATAGTTTTGTGTTTGATAAGGGTGAAACAATCACTGATTTGGTGTTCAGGTTATCTTGTATTTTTGATTGTCTTATCGTATGCTTCCAACCAACGGGATGTCGCAGATCATTTTGAAAAAAATCCAACAAATTGACAATGAAATGGAATGGGGTTTAACGTCCTAACTTTCTCCACCAACCGGGCTAATAAAGATATGCATATACGTCATTGTGCTTAATGGTAAATATTTCCCGTATATCGGCCTATACTCTTATTTCGAAGTTCAATTGTCAATGGTTTTTCCATCCAACTGGAGGGAATCTGAGATCAAATTTTTAAAAAATTCTACAAACTGACAATGAACCATGTCAACTGTGTCCGAAAATTAAATGATATAATATTGCCCTAACCTCTTACTTAGTAGCCCCCTCCCGCTCCACCCGCTCTTTCATAAAACCAACAAAATAAAGCCCATCCACTCCTCTTTTTTTCTGGAGTTGAATACTATGGCATTCAGGGAATTTATTTTTTACATTCCTTGTAGAATTACGAGGCAATAAAGTTTAAGATGTATGGTTGTCTTGTCTGATTACAACATAATAATAACGTCATACCTTTCTGTGCCGTGGGTGTGGGGGTGGAGGGGGGATGGCCGAATGGTTAGCGCGGATGCGTTGTATCAGGAGGTCTGTAATTGTGTCAACTGAGTTAAACCTCTCTCTTTCTTCTCTCTCTCTCTCTGTGCCAGTCTGGATAATTAGGGAGACTTTGCTCGGAAAGCGATGCTGCGCTCTGCTCTTAGATTGAATTTCAATTGTCAAAGGTCCTTTTATCCTTTTACGTGCACGCCAACGTGTACACGGGGATCTCGGATTTTCGTCCCATCCGAACAACTAGACAACTGTCCTTGTCAGACCCGCCCCCAGTAACAAGGGGAAACCACTCCGCAAAATCCTGGGGAACTTTCTCGACCAACACGAGTATCGAAACCGGAATCTCGTCGTTAGAACGGATCTATATAATGTCGTTCATGTATTACTCACAACGTGATGCCTAAATCACTGAGCCACCGTGACTCCATGGGTATATATACAGAATTACGCCTAATTTCACAGCATTTGAAGAAAAAAAACGGAGACGGTAATATGTAATTAATAAATAGTCTTTTTCTGTCAGTGAATGTATACGTTTTACAGTACTGTTATAGTGTATCTTTGTATATATTTTATTACTATTTAAAATAGTAATTAACCAATGTCCGAATTGATGTCTAACTAGTCTTTTAAGTCTTTAAACTGTTTGGGTTTAAACTTAATGTAACGATAAATATTACGTTATTATAGTTAAAGGACAATATTGGTGTCAGTCATTATAAAATATGTGATAGAACTGGTTAAATACATCCCAAATACAATTTTAACACAGAGATCATTGCTACGGGAGATGTGTAACAAGCACGTGAAGAAACGGGAAGTGACGACAAACATGACAAACACGAGTTATCCTTCTATATATCTAATTGAAGTAACGAGCGATAACAGACACGCGATCGAATTTCAGTTGACTGATAATTCAGTTGAAGATGAAAAGTTATTATATGAGATGGTGAGAGGATATCTGACAATTCAAAAAAAGAATTGGTTGTCAGTAGATAAAAGATAACGAACAAATTAGAAAAAATCCGTGCATTGCCATGTTTTTATTAAGAACAGAAAGAATAAAAACGGGGGAATGCACTGGATTTTTCTATTTTTCTCGTTTCCCCTTATCTAGTGATAGCCAATTCTATTTTTGAATTGTGAGATACCCTATCACCGTCCCATATATAATAACTTTTCATCTTCAACGGAATTAAATTATCAGTGAAATGAAATTCGATCGTTTGTCTGTTATCGCTCGTTACTTCATTCAGTTATATAGAAGGATAACTCGTGTTTATCATGTTTGACGTCACTTCCCGTTTCTTCACGTGCTTGTTACACATCTACCATAGCAATGATCTCTGTGTTGAAATGATATTTGGAATGTATTTAACCAGTTCTATCACATATGTAATAATGACTGACACCAATATTGTCCTTTAACACGCGTTCTTGCTATGTCCATATCTTCTTCTAGCGATACATATCTCGTTATTGTGACCAGTTTTTGGACACTCGTTATTAAAAGTAGAAATTTAACTATTTATTCTGAGTTATCATCGTCGTTAGTGTTGGAATAAGCTACAACACCCAGAAAACAGCACTGCGGCAATACTTACACTAATGTTTGTATTTTGACCATAAATAGGCCTTTTCTGTAGGTGAATGTATACGTTTCACATTACTTACTGGTGTTTGTATTTTTACTATAAATAGAAGTTAAAACTGTATTGTTGAACTACGTCATTTATGTAAATAATATAGACACTACACCCCTGTAAATACGTCATTTATACGTAAATCCATCACGTTCTGGCTATTCCGGGGAGGAAAAAATATATTCGTTTGACAACCGGAACAGTAATTGTGTTGAAATTCATTGAAGAATGTACATAGTAGCTTATACTACAGAACAACAAGTAAATGAAATGAAATGAAATGGCGCTTAACGTCCTACTGTTCTGCTCCGGCTGGGCTAATGAAGACGGGCATACGCCATACAGTGTGCTATGAGAGAAATTTTGCCTGGGCAAAGATGGCCTATTCTTATGTCGAATTCCAACTGCCAAGGTATCTTTTACGTGCATGCCAATGTATACACGGGACCTAGGTTTTTTGCCCATCCGAACGACTAGACAGCTGTCCTTGTCAGGCGTTCGATCAGACACAGGTCTTTAGAGAACTAGTATATAGGGAGCTGGTACTTAAAAAATCTCAGATGTTTTAGCTTTGTCATATTTCGTCACGGACCATTCTAACTCCGTTTTATGTTTCGGTTGTTTACCCCGCTTTATTTTGTTATTGGTACATTTCTGTATAGGACACGGCTTGTGATTGGTCGACTTTGAATCAATCTTTCAATTAAAATCGATGATACGGAAAACTGGACAGATTTTATTGATAAATAATTTAATTTTGTCGTCGCTCGAGGGTCCAGTGCGCACTCTTCTTCAACATTTCTTTATTTGTTTGTAGAATTATCAAATAAACCGAACAAAAATAACACAGAGAGAGAGAGGGGGGAGGGGGTCATTTCTGGACTAACATACGGTTCAATTGTACTTCAGTAATTCGCTTGTGGGTAGAGGGAGGAAACCGGAGGACCTGAGGTAAGCTTACATTTTATAAACGCTTTATTTGTCTCGTTCACTAGGCACATCATCGTTGTTTTAAAAAAGCTTGA